TATATATATATATATATATATATATATATATATATATATATATATACACACCTGTACAGAATTATAAACGAATATCGTTATGGCAGTAATAACAATTATTAATTAATGTAATGTATACATAGATCATATGATATGATCTTAGAAATTATACTACACGTAATTACACACTAAACACATAATTGTACATTGTATCTGTGTGTAGAATAAAACATGTTATTTATGAATCCAACTCGACTGAAGTATTTGAAAATGCAACATCAGCAATTATTTTGATAAAACATTAACATTTTACAATATACATTACCCAATGAAAAATTTTTCATGCATAATTATATATAAAATTTGTCCATATATAATTATGTATAATTATATATAATAATATAAAATTATATATAACTATATGTAAATAATAAATATAATAATATAAAATTACATATAATTATACACAATTATGTATAACTATATGTATAATTATATATATTTGTATACGTAATTATGTAAAATTATATATGAAATTGTGCCCAGTAAGCAAATTGAGTGCAGACTGGGCGCAGATTGGCAGCAAATTTGATAAAAAATTCACAGCAAAACCATAGCCATCTGTGTCTACATTAGACTACGATTTTGGCGACAGATCTTGTTGTCGGGCAACTGATGCCAAATTTGCAGCAAAAATCGCGCAAAACTTGCAGCGCAGCAAGGTCTGCGCGGTTTCTGCCGTCAATCTGCCGTCAATCGCTACAAGCTCTGCGCGGTTTTTGCTGCAAATCTGCAGCAATTATCCGACAACAAGCTCTGCCGCATATCTGGCGGCAATTTGGCAGCAAGATTTGATATAATAGATCCAAATTTATTATCTATTTGCCATCAAAAGTTGATGAGCAAGCTCTGCTCGAAATCTGTTCACGCAGGTTTGGCTATCTGAGTATATAAAGTTATACATTATTATATATAAGTAACATATATTAACATGTATGGGCAAATTTCATAGATAATTGTACATGATAATGTAAAATTATATATAATTTTATATAATTTTATATAAATTTAACATCTCTCTCTCTCTCTCTCTCTCTCTCTCTCTCTCTATATATATATATATATATATATATATATATATATATATATATATGCATATTATTTTATATTATATACTATATTTACAATTATAAACTTTTCGTGAGATCATTAAAATTCGTTACATACCATTGCGAGCATAATTTTACATTTTCTCTAATTACATTCCCGCCGAATCCTGTAACGAAAATAAATATGCAGTAAACACTCACAGTGCAATTTATATCATGATACTAACAAATAATATCAACTGACATTTATAAGCAGCTTTGTTTTATAGAATTTTAAGCAATTATTTTACAAACCTATAAATGCGTCCGCTGGCGGCGATGCTTCTAAATCTGTCGCGCCATCACCAATATGGACAACAATCTTGAATCCTTCCTTTTCTTTAAGATGTCGTATTACTTCTGCTTTGCCACCACTTTTAGAAGTTGGCTGACTCTCGTCAAATCCAGCATACTCTCCTGTACACAGTTGTACATATGTATGTCCCAAAAAACAGCTATAAATTCATTAATGAGAATATTTACCTGTGAAGTAAAATTTCAATTTGTTAGCATAAATATTTTCAGGTGGAATGTTAAGTTGTGCAGCAATTGGCATGATGAGGGAGTGGAAACCACCAGAGACAAGAAACACTTGCTTCCCATGGGATCGTAAAGCTGACACTAACTCTCTGAACACATTTGCAATTGTGTACAATATTTTAATAAAATATGTAAGAGTGTTTAATCCTACATTAAAAGAAATTAATCTCTTACTTGATACCATCAGTGAGTTTTGCTTTATGAGTATTCAAAAACTCTTTTATTTGTGCTAAACTTGGATTTATTATTTGCAATCTAACTGATAAAGACTGTTGGAATGTCATGTCACCTTGCATGGCTCGTTTAGTTCTGAAACACATATTTTAATATACTATATTATAATAGTGATTTTGAATCTCCATGTGCTACTGTATGATAAACTATGTTGAATTGTAGTAGAGGTCAAGTAAAGGACATACAATTCAGCAATTTGCTCTCCTTTCCCACAAAATTTTGCAAGCTCATCAATACCTTCTTCTGTCGTGACAGTGGAATCTACATCAAACGTTATAGCATCTGCACATTTCCATATGCTCATTATTTTATCCAAACTTGCCATCTGAAACATTAAAGAGAAAAATGTATGAAAATTGATGGATGAAGAATTATTCTATCAAGTCTAAAATATGTAGAATAATTGGTTATAATTTGTGGAACATTTAAATTTTTAAATTTTACGATACGTTAATGTTACGATATCGCAAAATATTCATCAGATTCATTAGATTCAATCAAGCACAATTTTCATCAAGTGTGTCACATGTCACAAGTTACATCACAATGCTTCCCTGCAGACTATTGTTGATTGATCACATGACACACGCACCAATTATTATACAGTCACGAGAGATTCCCGACAGTTATAGTTCAACAAAAAAAATATCGAAATTGATTATCACATCTATATCATTCACTTCAATGATAAGAGTAAAAGAAATCAAATTAATCAGTCAAACCAATCATTGTACTATGATCTGATTATAATTCATTGGAATTTAATTTTTTAAAGAACAATTTAGTTTCTATATTGAATTCTTTTTCAGCGAAGATTTTTAGCGCGTTTTAATGAAACACACAAATGTACAGAAACACATGAAACAAAGATGTTTAAATTTGTGCAAATTTTCTCTTCTTTCTAAGGATGTGCAATAAATGAAAGCAGCAGCTGAGTGCCAATTTTAAATAATTCGAACACGATAAAAAAATACGTGAAATACCTCATCTACGAAATAAAAAGACACGGTGAGCAAAAATTGTAATGAGCACTCCAAGCGACGCGATTAACGTATGGCTACATATACTCTGTGAAACACTACACGTGATAACGTATGACGATCGCGTAGTAGAGAGGGAAGCGGATTCTAGCGAACGAGTTTTGATCGCGGTATTCTCCGTGATTTTCCATTAGTTCGTCTCTGTTGCAATTCTGTTGTGCCACTTTGATACGGCGATTTAACGTCATCGATCAGCCCAGATAGCACAGCATCCAAAAGACGTCCTAAAAACATTATAAAAACGTCCTTACGTCCTAAATACGTCCAAAGTATATCTTTTGGATATACATGTGTTGTTTGGGAGTTATCCCGATAATATTAATATAAACATGCTCGTCAAGAGAATTTGGAGTTGAATGTAGACTAGTACATTTGTATTATATGGGATATAAAGTTTATTCACAGAAATAAACTTTCTTTCATAAAAGTAAGCTTTACATCCCATAAATAAATTTTCAAATATTTTTTCTCAAAGTAAAAACAAAAACTTATGGCTCTAAATATTAAATGGAATTAATATTATTAAGGACAATAAAAGCTAAAAATGCAGAAGTTATACACTTATACTTATACTTAGAAGTTATACTTATAATTTAATTTTTGGCTTTTATTGTTCTTTATAATATTGTTATTTTTTTCTGGATGATTAGTACTTTCTGCGCGCGCGATTTAATTTTATTTAACCTCGATATATTTAGAAAGAGTAGAGTTTATATATATATTTGAATAATTTATAAAATTAAATATTCGATTCTATTACTAAGTATCTATTACTAATTCTACTTCTAAGTATCTATAATTATTTTGACCGAAAATTTATCAATGATAGATAATCATTATTCTTTGACGATAAATTTCCGTAGTCGATAATATCGTGAACTGTTTTGACGACAATTCAAATGGAAATAAAGCGTTGTCGTCATAGATAACGCTACTGAGAAATAACGAAATTGTGCATAAACAAATAGTCTGTTCTTTTCAGCTGCACTGCTGACTGGAGCAATAAGTTAAAGTGAAACAAGTATGTTTTCTCACTCTAACTTGTTGCATTAGTTGAGCAGTGCAGCTGAAAAGAATAGATCAACTGTGTCCATTTCAATTATTTGAAATTTGGAACGTCTGCTAGATATAAAAAGATGCCAGAGATATTGAAATGAAAGAAGGACGATACGGTTTCCACAGATGTTTGTTGTATAATTACCAATTATAATTTTTTCTTTTTTATAGACTCAATTGATCCATTGTGAATGAACCCTGCAAGGATTATATTAAAGGTGCGCACGACGCGTTTTCTGGTATCGATATAAAGGTGCTTTTACATAGGAGCGTCGAGCGTCGAGCGTCAAGTGTTGAGCATATGCATAGTAATATATAGTGAGTTGTTGCTGAAACGCAAGATTAATTTGATTACATACTGAACTGTTAGTTGAATTTCGAGATATTTATTAGCAATTCAGAAAAAACTGCAAGATATTAAAAAATGTCTATTAATTATCGGCATCATTCGTGGTTATTAAAATGCAATAGCATTATCAGTAACGAATATTACAAACAAAACATGAAGTTAATTGCATTAATATCACTAATTGCAAATACAATATGAGCAAAACAAAGAAAAAAAGGTTTTGGATGTTACAAATATTCGCAGAAAAAAAGAGACACAAATTCTATTATGCAACATTGCTCTAATAGCGTCAAGACGCTGAAATCTGAATGGTTTAGATTTATGTGCAAAGGTGCTGCGCACGGGTTTGATGCTCGACCCTCGAACGCTTGCATCCCAGCAAACAGTATGACGTCAAATGACCTCTTAATGACGTATTATTGACGTTAGAGACGTCAATAATACATCATTAAGACGTCATTTGACGTTATCTTGTTTGTTGGGATGTAATGGTACCTTAATAACGTAGAGCAACGTGATACGACAGATATTTTTTTATAACCTGTACATACACGACTTTGTAACAATTAGATAATTAAAAGTTGCCACACTTTTTCTCTATGAGGAAAGCGCATCTCTTGAGAACAATTAAAAAGGAAATTTTTCTATTTGATACAGAAAACGTTCAAAAACTCATTGAGGAAAAACATTGTTTCAGTCGTCTGACTATATAAGCACACAGCACAAATGTCTCAAATATATCCTACAGAAATCAATTCAATAATCATCAGCAAATATTCAGCATTCGTGGAATGTCTGTAAGTTGTATTCAACACATTAGTGCTATACGAGTTTCAGATAGCAAGCATGAATAGAAAAGGGTAACGATTGTTATCAAAAAAACGATAACAGTAACACTAATAACGTTAGAAGTAACGAGTTATTTCCCAACTCTGCAAATAATATAAAACAGTTTTACGAAAATAACGCTACAACAAACACAAAAACATAAAAACATAAAAGTTCACTTACCGTGACTCAAAAGACACTTATCTAAACTATTGTATTTTTTTACGTTATAGTTACGACTTCACACCGAAAGACATTGTGATCATGGTAACACTACATAATATACTGACGGGAATATATAGGAAGGTAGGTGAGGCGCTTCAGCAACATTATGATTTTTAGAAATCGTCGATTTGCTGCAGTAATTTTTATGACAGTTTAGTGATCTAGGATGACGTCAGAAGTGAGAAAATGCATGCTAAAAATTCTTGCAAAATACGTTGAAATAAAAAAATATACATATATCTATAAAGTGACACTTGCAATCGATTAAATAAATCTGTGAAATATTCCGTGCATTCCTCTTTTGCTTTAATAATCAATAGTTTATCGTAAATTAATCTGAATAGAAATAGGCGGAGAAATAGGTTAAGAAGATGAATTGTATGTTGCGTTAATTTACAACAAATTCTTGATTGTTAAAGCAAAAAGGAAGTGCACGGAATATCTTACAAATTTGTTTAATTGATTATAAGTGTAACTTTATGGATATATATTTTTATTTCAACGTAAGTCGCAAGAATTTTTAGCATGCATTTTCTCGCTTCTGACGTCATTGAAACGAAATAAACAATGCAAGGAGTCAGGAACCGTAAGTCGATGTCGGAACGCACAAGGATTGACATATGTTATATCGAATATGATTAAAAAAATCGGACGATTGATGCAGCATAAGTCCACGTCAATCCTTATGCGTTGACTTCCAACACCGACTTACGTCTACGTTGTTAGAAACTATTGCGACAATCTTTGTGCTCAAATCCTGATGAGTCCTCTACAATGGCAGTAGGAGTAGTTATAAAAAATAAGCACTAAGCAAAAATGAACGAAAATGAATAAATTGACTAATTTTTCCTACTACTAAGCACGTGTAAGATACCGGCAAACCGGTTTTCGCATATTTGCTGCTTGCTTTCATGCTGGGAGGAAGGGTACATATAGGGAGGGATAAAAGCAAGGTATGAAACGTTCAATAGTCGGCACTTGTTGCGGCGCCTGCCACTTCTCGGCACTCTTGCGCAGGTTTTACTGAATATTAAGATGCTTTGTGCATGGGGATTCATTATTTATATTTAATCATTCCTTTTTTGAATCCCCATATCGCCTTATAAAATCTCATCAAATCCAATCCGCAAAAGTATTAAAAACCGAGAGTGCCGAATATTTTACTAAATATTAACCACTTCGCTGGCATTGACGCACTTTTGCGTCAAATAAAGGATGTACCAAAAATGACATTGACGCACTAATACGCACTTCATTTTACTTTTTTTCCCGTTAGCAAGATTTTCATGAAACCCAGGGGTTTTTAGGGTCGCTGATTTCAAATTTGAACACTAAATTTGAAAATTTAAAATAGCAGATTAAATATAGCGGATCAAGATGCGAAAAGTGATTATGATGAGACTTGGTATTTGAAAGTGTTTGGTGTCACTGCTTTTGAATCTGAGATTACTTTTGTCAAATCCAAAATGGCGGACCCAATATGACCAAATGGAAAAATTACTCGATTTGGATGAAACTCGGTACTCAGAGGTTTTTAGAGTCACTGATTTCGAATCATAGTTTAAAATTTCGAAATTTCAAGATGGCGGATTCAATATGGCGAACCAAAATATGAAAAGTGACTTGATTTGGATGGAACTCGGTACCTGGAGGTTTTTAGAGTCGTCAGATTTCGAATCTGACATTAAATCTGAATTTGAACTTTTAAATTTTGATCTCAAATTTGTATTCAGCGACTCGAAAAGTACTTTAGTAGTGACTTTTATAAAAATCATACAGCATTTAAATCTTGTCATTTTTGGATCGGTTGATGCTAATTTTCTTGACGAGCGAAGTGGTTAAGATATGTGCGTGGAGATTTATTAATTATTTATTAACTTCTGTGTTAAATACGTCTTAATATCCGATCAAATTGAATCTGTAAAAGTGCCAAAAACTAAGAATATCGGTTATTGAGCGTTTTATCATATTTGTTTCTCTCAATACACTTTCAGCTTTCAACTGAATATTTTTTATTCTATTTTCTATTTCCTTTGATGATCATGCATCAGGTTGCAATATCTGTTCTAGGGTTTAATGAGATTTTCTCTGCTTGTGCGACATCGATTAATCGCTTCCGGAGATATCGAGTTCGAGTCTTTCGACGGTACACACCAGGCTGGTGTCTTTGTTAGGCTCGTCTTCTATCGTCCTCATCCATATCGTAAATTTATTCTCAGGTTTCGTCGTGCTCTCGAAACCGTAATGGCTTTTCATTCGAGCATTGGATATCCAAATGCTGAGATGTCTAAATTTATATGGCTGTCGGATTGGCGAAGCCACCATCTCGAAAAGATTGTTGGCCGAGCTGCATTTCTTTCCGAGCCGCCCTGTATATACATTCACAGCAGGTAGGTTAATTTCCTAGTACCGTCGATGATGACTCGTTCCGTAGTCTCGCAATGATGCTCGCGCGAGAACCCGCGTTTTCTCGCGCTCGTCCCGTTCTCGCACTTCGTACGAAGAAATCGTGAAGCCACGAGATATCGGCTATTATTATCGTTCAGTGAGATAGCCACAAGTCAACGCAATCGTCACCAATAACAGTGCCATATTTAATCTGTACGGATTTTCGACTCGTGAAACGATCGTGAAAAAAAAATAATACGCGACAACTGACGCTGTTAAATATGGCACTGTTATCGTTTCTTGCTCAAAATCAGAGTAGTGATTCGAATTTTTGTTATGTATAAATCACTAGCGATATCAAACTACACTCTGAAAGATTCGATTTATTCGCAAAATATCTACATACACACAGAAAAATACATACTGCATTCAAAGGTAACTTGTTTTAAGTATTTCCAAAATTTGTATATCCGCAAATCTATCATACGTTCATTTCATAAACATCAAATTTACTCAAAACACATTCTTAGTTCTAATAGTCGAACCAACTTTTTCTTCAACAAAGTTTTATAATATTCTTGTCAAAAGAATGAGTTCTTCTTTTGAGTACATGACAATAAGCTTTTATTAAATTTATGCTAAATATATTTTAAGAGTAATGAATCCCGGACCATCAAATCTCCAAAATCGAATCATAAGACGTCTTTAGGACATCTTTAAGATAATACCTTGTACATGTCTTAAAGATGTCTTGAAGATTTCTTAAAGACGTCTTATGACCCGATTTTAAACATTGTGCTGTCTGGGAGTATTTTATTGACAAGAATTTTGGGATCAATCATTAAAGAATGTTTTCATAAGTGCTGAGAGTAAAGATTATATCTATGAATTTATTAGAATTTTAGAAATTTAGTTTTTTGTCTATTACTCTATATTATATTTTTGTTACTTTAAAGATTTAGTTACTTTCACGGAACTATTCCAGAAGTACCAAAATGATAATTAAAATTTATTTCGTTTAGAAAACGGTGATTAAAGCACAGTCATTAATCGCAATATGCGCATAGGAATTCAGAAATCCGAGTACAACTTGCGAAGAGATCAGTAGAGAAGGATTCAAAAGTAAAATAGCACTCTACCGATGTGATAAATGGCTCAGATCGAAATTTTAATCATCATTTTGACACTTCTAGAATAATGTCATAGTTCCGTAAAGGCCTTTAATATATTTTAATTAGCACGTTATCTCAAGAAAATATTCTTTGCTGAAGATAATCGTAACTCAAAAGAAGAAAATAAACTATATAATCACTTTCTTTAGCAGCAGAATGATATTTTCCTGTGTGCAGGCACACGATACCTTTCGGGGCAGAGGAGGGGGGAGGGAGAAAGTGTCACTTCCCGTTCAAGTTCAATTCAGTCTCACATTTTTTATTCATAATTAGACATGCTTCCCTTTGTAACTAACTATATTTTTTATTCGCAAAGATGTCGTAGCGCGTATGCGTGCATCTCTCTTTGACAACACGGATTAGTTTCCATCCACCATCACAAAAAAATACCCGGACGCTCTTTTTTTACTTTAGCAATAAATAAATAACCGTAAAAACTTAACGTAGCATAAATCATAAGATATGTTTAAAACGTAAGTTGCAAATTACTCTAATTTTCGGCTATTTATTGAATGTTGAAAAGGAGAAATGATCTAGACATTTTTATAAATGCACTGAATCAATTACGAATGTCATTTTTTGCGTATTTTATTTTTGTTTACGTATAGAGGAGACTGAAATTATATGGCTCCAGAGATATGTTGCCTATGTAGTGTTTTGAATATTTATCTTCAGAGGAATAGTGGGTATAAAATCGAAATGATCCTTTTAAAACATAAATACTTCTCTCTGAGTTTCATTAAAATCGGAATAATATTACAGTTAAGAGATAGTTGAGATGTTGAAAGAAAGACATCGATATATTATATCAGTAGCATCACAACATTCATATAACGATACGTTACTTATTATCACTCATCCGTTCAATCGACTCCGCAACGACTTCGAGTTGGCTTCCTCTATCAAATTCAACTCAATCACCGGTTAACACTGTCTGCCTGCATTGCCTCGAAGTCCACGACTAGATCAACTCGTTAGTCGATGACGCCAACGGCACGGGGAAGGCCCGGCTGTCGCTATGCTGTCGCGTCGGTACGTTCCTCACCGGGAACGACTGCGTGCAAAGCGCGAACGAGACGGAAGCGACGCTGCCGCTGGTCTACGAGGTCGACCTTGCGCCGACGAACATCACCGCGAGCGACGAGCACTTCTCCATCCTGGTGTAGAATCTATGTGCCGGAGGTAACCGGTACGGCCTGAATTTGCATCTGTACGAGGACGAGTAATAGTATTCTGTCGAACGACTCCGTGTACTCGCCCCGAGGCGATAGACGAGGATCGTCTCCTGAGCTACGATTAGTACTGCTTGGCTAGAGTACGGAACTACGATTACCCGGAGTATCTGGCGTTCTTCTGCGAAGAGGCGTATCCGGACGATGAGGACAACGAGATCGTCTACTCGTACGGAATGATCACCTCGGTGCCGTTCCTGGTCGCCACGTTCATCGTCTACTGGCTGCTACCTGAGATGAGGAACATACACGGCCTGACGTTGCGCGGATACATCGGCTGCCTGTCGGTGGCGTACGTCATGCTGACGATGGTGCAACTGATGCTGCAGGATTAGCTTTCATACGATGGCTGCATCGCAATCGGTATATCTATAGCGTGCGACTTCTTCTTCTGCCTTAAAATCGTTTAATGCGCCGTTAACGAGAAAAAGGATAGTGAGGATTGCTGAGAACGCGACGAGAGACTGTCGCTTAAGCGCAATTAACCCTCTATGTGCCGAGCTATTCAGTTACCTGAAATGTGACGGTTTGTCTTGTCCGTTTCTCTAGATCGTATTGTTGCAGAGTTTGTTATATAAGTGTATTCATGATCGTATTGTGTATAACGAACAGCCGTATTACACATCGATCGCGTCACAGGATGGAACGTGGTTAGAAATCTCGCTGAGATCGCTTCACGTTCAGCGCGACAACTTTCTAAACTGCTTCGACAGCATTTCGGCTTCTTTTGTACATGATAAGATGTTCAGATTTCTTATTCTCCCAAGTCCGGGACACACTAAACGTGTAGTTCAAGGGAGGGAGGAAATTGTATGTATGGACATATATAATTATATATATCCATACATAAGGTCACATATATGGATAAAATTCATAGACAATTATATGAGAACTTTTTCCCAGATAAAAAGATAATTACTGCAAAAAATTGATCTAAAATTTAATTAAAATTATTGATTTAATAGAAAATTAGAAATTCTTTTGTTACAGAATTCTGAATAGCTATTTTTATTATAAAAATCTCTTCGTGCAAAATACTTCCTTTTTATATATTCCTTTCGATATAGTGCCTCTATCATTCATCTAACATAGAAAGTAATACTAATATGGAAAACACATTTTATGTAAGGCTTTTCAAACGCTCCACACTTTGGTTGAAACTTACGCGAATTCGACGAAAATCGACGGCAAGCTTAATCGGATCAATTGTCTCTTCACATTAACTGATTTTATCTTCGGAGATTCCCTCTAAAATAGATTACATTGAAGTAGACGATAGAATGAAATTTTCTCGACGGTCGGGAATGTACTGACTCATCCCATCAGTTGCAAATGTATAAAAGGAAAATGCATGTCTGCCGGAGCACTGAAGGCTCTTAACAATTAAAGCAGCCGAAGCGAATACTCGCTACTTTGTACCATGCATTCCCTAAAGTCATAACCAGACCATGAGTCATCAGGTCATGCGATTCACAAAGGGGTTAATGTTTCTCGCTATCACATTGCTGTTAGAGATTGAGCCAAGACCTGCATTATCGAGGTACCTTATTAGTGCTCTTTCGCGCGCTCGCTGCGAAAGCGATTATGCTCTTCGAGACGAGAAGGTCGCCGCCAAATCATAGACAGTATCACACACATCCTCGTTTCCATAGTTATCACTGTGGTCATTGGACATTTCACAGGAACTGTTGTAGAAAGAAGCCAACTCAATTCAGTTTCTTCCTTCCCGCGTACGCGGTAGAAGACCGAGGATGTGTCGGCTAAATCCCATCATATGGTGCGCGCTTCTGCTGGTGGTCGCCTACGCGGCGGAAAATCAGAGCAATTCCATTTATGCAGACAAGCAGCAGGATGACATGGTGCACTATGAGCTTCACGTCAACCTCACTACCAGGTGGGACCACGACGAGAATTCCACGAGGGACGACGAGGACTCGGTACAGCATGAGTTTTACAGCAACTACACGAAGAACCTCGATGAGAAGGGCAGTCAGAATGTGCCGGCCGAGCTTCGCGACAATTCCACAGAGATCAATGACGGAGACAACTCTACCACGTCGCAGCTTCGCCCAGGAAGCAATTCGAACGAAACGAATTCCAACATCTGCAATGACACAGTCTGTATACCAATTTGTTGCGAACTCGGCTATCGTATGATCAGAGGCATATGCACGCCCGATGACAGTGAATATGATTTCCCGGAGGTACACGAGATAGGCAAGAAAGTGGACGAGGTTTTTCCATTGTTCGTGTCAGATCCATGTACCAATGGACACTACTTGCTCAATTCCTCCTTATATCCCGACGACGAGTACATAATTATGACCAACGGTTCTGTGTACCAAACGCTATTGAACAGCTTCATTGATCCGACAACTTACTGCTTCGCTGTTGTCATGAATAAGAGCAAATACGAGCTGACTATGTGCTTCGATACTGCAAATACGACCGTCGAGGAGGACGTGGATTTCACCGGTATCATTATCTTAGACATCGGTATCTTCGTGTCCTTGCCGTTCCTGCTGTTGACCTTCGTGGTGTACACCATACTGCCGGAGCTCTGGAACATGTATGGCTACATACTTCGCGGATACATCGGCTCGTTATTCCTCGCGTACATATTACTCGTGCCGTTCCAGATGATGTCGCCTGACGGTTTGTCGGATGCAGTCTGCATTGGATCGGGTACAACTTGAACAGACCGTATAATCGGTCGATATAACTGACGTGTATATCCTTTGTGCTCAACTGCATTTTCGCTCTTGCTTCGTCGTATATTACTCTCTGATGACTGAGGAATTAATTAGAGCTTTAGAATAGCCCTTTTTAAATTTCTTGGAGTAAGATTTCACTTGAAAAGCAGATTGAGCGTAGAATCACTCCGACACGAGTGATTTTTCACTGAAACGGAGTGAATACTCCACTCTGAATTGTCGAGTGGAGTCAAGTGAAGTCGAGTATTTTCACTCGAAATTCAAGAGTGAGTCTGATGTTATTTCATCGTCACAGAGATGTGTTCACTCTGATCGATTGAAATATTTTCTTGTATAGAGTCAGAATTTACTGTAAGTTAGAAAGAAAGAAAACATTCCATAAAAGTAGGAAAACATTCTATAAAAGGAGCTTTTATGATTAATATATGACCATACAGAGACAAAATTTGTACATGGGACATACAAGGTGTTTTCCAAGTACATATAAAAATACAGGTTCTAAAATGTTTCATTTCCGAGATGCACATCCCGGAAGAGTTGGCTGAAAAAGACTTTTTTGCAGATAAAAAGACAACGGTCAAACGTAAAAACGTTTAATTTTGTATTTAACATCTGGTATTAATAGTGGGTCATACTTTAGGATGGTTATTAATAATGAATCATACTTTGAGATGGTTTTTGTCCCCAGAAAACAAAGGTTGTAAATTAGGGATGGTTACTCTTATTTTGCATAACTTTTTTTAATTCTCACAGATAGAGCAAATATGGTCTTATTTTCAGAATCTTCAGACACTTGTACACAAAAAAAGTATTTTTATTAAAATTCGCTAGCACGCACCATTATCGAAGAAAATGTGTTTCATCTTTGACAGAATAAAATTGAATAAAATATTACTTGAATAAAATATTACTTTTTTTTACTTACATAGTTTTTTACTTAAAAAGTAAGAAAATTTGAATTTTTGTTTTATCGTTGTCTTTTTATTCGTAAAAAAATAATTTTACTTTTCAGCTACTACTTTCGAGTAATATTCAAATAGCAGGACGTCAAATAATGTATCAATGACTGAATATTATTGATGTAAGAAATGACAGTAATGCATCATTAAAATGTTATTTGACATTATCATGTTTACTGGATGTATCTTAAAAATTAAGCATTTTAAGACATATGTTTATATGAATGTTTTTTTTTTAATTTTCATAAGAAGAATTATCTCCTGCATTTTTAACATGTACACTAGGATTCATTAATGCCTTTACACTTCCGGTATCTGGAGAATTGGACTTTTTCAATCTGGCGCATCGTTTCTTAGTAAGCATGAATCGTGACTGTTAGTCGTTGGTTCTTTCAGTAACTAACAATCACGATTCACGTTTACTGAGAAAAGATGCGCCAGATCAAAAAAGTCAAATTCTCCAGATACCGGAAGTGTAAAGGCGTTTATAAATCCTAGTATATTTAGAAAACATCCTATATATAATTATATAATTATATATAATTTATATAATTTATATATAATTTATATATAATTATATACATTTTTTGTTGAGGTATTCAGGTATTCGTTTTAATCGATTGAAACACTCGCTCGTGTGAAGTCACAATCCACTCAAAGTTCGAGTAGAACACTCATTCTTGCTATTTCGAACGGCAATATTTTCACTATCGTTTTGAATGAAAATACTACCACTTTTTATTTCATTTGAAATAAAATTTTACTCCAAGAAATTCAGAATAGTACGGGAATAAATAATAGATGAAATTTCAGTTTCGAGTGTGTGCTGTACAGAAATGTGTTAGATTGGTATGAAAGGTTTGTCGTGTTTGTCAATAGAACACGAAATTATCCAATTTCGAGGAATTAATAAGGGGTACAAGTAAAATGGATAACATCGATTCGGTATTCTTTCAGACATCTAACGAGGACTTTCTTATTTTCCTCCTAATACCCAAATTTTTTCGGAGAATTTAATAGAAAAACGACAAATCTTTTGACATAAATGCATCAACATAGATTCTTCTTTTTCTTATCGTAACTTTGCAAGATACATATATCTCTAATGAAAGATTTCTTTTTCTTTGATGTAAGCACGCACTTGTTACATATTTATCGCGATCTTTTCCCATGAGTTTCCGATATAAAGGAAGAATATACAGTGTAGTTTTCACGGTCCAATAATAACCGCAAGACTTTCTTGCACTTCAATGTAGTTTGATTTTGAGACGCTATTTATTTCTGTTTCAGCCTTCGTCCTTTACTTCTTGTTACAGGCAAACGTATTCTGGCTGAACGTGATGTGCTTCGACATTTGGTGGATGTTTGGGTAAGTGCAAAGTATCCTTGAGCTATATACTTCATCTCGCAATTTTGTTGAGTTGTATTTAAGCAGTCAAATCACGGTGATCGTGATGCGTATATGTGAATGTGTGACCTTCGCAGTATTTCTAAAACGCCTTGAAACTGGATACTAAAATGATAGAACGTTTTGTGTAAGAAATTTGAATACCAGTTACCTCGTGAGATAACATTTGAATAAGGTAAACGACCAACTTATCGATCTTTTAAGAACAGTAAGGATACTAATTCTTTATTTATGGAAGCAATATCAGGTGAAATTGATAACAAATAGTTCTATCGCGTGAATTAATGTTTTCTGCATAAGATACGTCTGCTTTGTAAGTATATATATAAATAGATGTAAAAATGACCACAAAGTTAATATATTTAAAAATACTAGTTCACTGCCGATGATTTCGATCCTCTGAAAATACCGATGTCGCACTTTCTGACCCCATCGCCGATTTAATTTCTGATCCTTCATTCTGCCATAAAGTAGCCTCACAAACAAATTTCCATTTCGTACAATTTCACGAATATCAACATCAGAAAACATTTCTTTAATATTATATTTCTATATAAAATAAATATCAAATAAAATTATACTTAAATAATTACAACATTCGAATGAGATATATAATAAATATAGGAACAGATTTTAATATTAATATTCGATTTTTATTTTTTTAAGTTGTTGTTTGTGCTATCACGCTGTACTCTCTTTACTTTGTTATTTATAATATTTTTCAATTAAAGAAATATACATTTTTTTTTTAAATCTTAAAAAAAACTTTAGCTTTCCATGAAAGCAATTGTTTAGTCTATATATATAAAAGAGTTTAGATTTAAGTAAATATATCATTAGTAATGATAAACAGATGTTTACTATTTTTGAGGTATTTTTCTCTCAGTATATATATCATATTATCTATTTTGTACTTGTTATATATTTAATTAATTACAAGCATGACATTAATTACGCGTTAACGAAAATAAAGCATTCGCAAGCAGGTCGAAATGGTTCGAGCTCGAAATGGGTTAATCGATTCACCAAATATTTCACAGGCGCCACTCGATCCGGCGCGCTTTTGAGGGAGAGAAATTTGATAATTGACGAACATCGGAGGGAAATTGATAGCGACAAGACGCGAATTAATATCCGGTACTTGATCGGCGCGCGTATATACCGCAAACATAGCTCGAGTTAATTTTGATCTCCTCACGCCGGCCGATCGGAGCAGCAATTTTGGCAGAGGCAACATTCGCTGTAACGGCAAAAATCAAAGGCTATATCGCTAACAGGTATTGGCACGTAATAGGAAACGTGCTGATCGGATACCTCGTTCAAATTTGTGCCCGTGTATTCTTAATGCAACTTCAAAGCGACGAATTTCCGCACGAATAATACGCATACACACACACACACACACACACACGCGCGCATTTTGTCGAAGCAATAGTTGCTAAACGTTTGTTAGTCCGAATGTAAATGAAAAAGGTACGATGACACGGGCTGTTACGCCGCAGTCCGCCAACGTTGATAGTCCAATTCGAGGAAGTGCCATCGCAAGAATGTAATTCACATTCGTCCACACTAAGCCACGCTAAGCCGCGCGCGTTTCTCGCTTCCTCGTCTAATTACGCGGCGCGCTCGCGCGCGTGTAGGGATACTGCAAAGTTTTATCTCTCACCTGTCTTCGATAAAATTCCTTGATGTGCCGACGTCGTGCCGCTACTTACCGTGCGGTGACGGAGTGACTGTTGCTAAGCCTCGTTTCGCGTTGTTACAAGGGAGTACTTAATTTAAACAATCTTCAGTACTGAAGATATTTAAACAAATATCTTCAGTACTATCCAAACAAACGTTTTTTGAAATTTAGTAAATTTTTTTCTCAGTGTATATCTGGAAAAATTTAATTTTTCTTGCGGCCAGCGGTGGTTTTTTATCAATCTTATTATAAAGTTCCCCTTTGGAATCATAAAGTGCAGACAAGAAGTTTAACTGCAATGCTGATCATAAAAAACTGATAGAGCTATATAAAAAATAGACGAAAAAATGTAAAAAAATTTACTGTCTACACAATCATGTGCAACGGTTTGTCGTGCAATGATTCGTCGAGTTGTCACACATCATTGAATAGACAGGAAACTTCTTTCTATTTCTTTGCTATTATTTTAACGTAGTCCCCCACAGGTTTTTTCTGAAGTGTTAAAGTGACTAATGTCAATAATTAGGTATTTTAGCTTACATTTTCATTTACTAATTAATTATCTATATCACATATGACTCATCGTCTTTTAATTAGCACGAATCAAGAAAATAGATTAAGCATTTAAAGTGGTCGGGTTTCCGGGAAACTTGACCAAAAGTGATAACTGTTTTAACGTGTATTTGTAATACATGCGCCTGTTTTTCTCATTAGTATGCTATAAATAATAAGCTATAAATAATTATAAGCTATAAATAATTTTGCAGCGGATTCCGCTCGTTACAAGGAAGTGCGAAGCAACGGGAGAAAAGTGTGAAGCAACAGGAGAAAAAGAAGTTCATCATGTATTCGATTTACGCGTGGGGTTGCCCCTTCATCCTTACTATCATCTGTCTCATTATGGATTTCGTCCCCGATATATCGAAAACTTTAATCAGACCGGAGTTTGGCAACGTGAGATGTTGGTTCGCGAGTAAGTACGACATAAATGAACGTCTTCCTTTAACGTTAGCGCCTGTCTCGCCTAACTCTCCTTAAATCTGCAAGGACTCTGATTGTAATAAGTATGTTTAGGCCTAAAAAGTACCTCACCCTTTGCGTGTTTATTTTAACTGTATTACATTCAAGTCACACAATAAAGTTACTATTATACTATTATTCTGTAATAAAGTTCTTTCGGATTTTTCTTTCGAATTAATCTATATAACTGATGGAATTAATAATATTGATATGTCGCTTCCTGCGAATGACTTCTCATAATGTCGATCGGTCTTAGATAAAATGTAATGATTATATTTTTATGTTATGTCGTTATTATAAGATAATATATGTATAAAGGATAGCAAAATATTACAGATCAAAAGGCGTATACGTTTCGCGCGCGCGCTTCATAAAATTATAACGATACAAAAATACAATCGTTTTATCTAAAAAATCAAAGATTATTACAAAATCGTATATTATATCATATATTACAATATTTATATATTTTATATATATATAAAGTTGTTATAAAATACTAATAAAGTTGATATTATACCTTAGATAGATATTTTGACACATAATGACTGAATTCAGTTTTAAAAATTGTAGCACAAGTAAACAAAGTTATATATAACAAGAATTTTGTTAGTATGTAAAGTATATAAGAAAGACAAGTGATGTCATGAAAATTGCTGTTTATTTGCCGGCAAATGGACGCAATTAATCCGAAATTATTATAGTAATTAGAAGTTAAACGTTTTAAATTTAAAAATATATGGCATATATGTATAGTGAAATAGTATTTCTTAAAACAGTATATTCTAAATACATGTGTTGTAACACATTTGTAACACAAAGGCCATGTTAAATTTTTGCATGCTATGTTCAGCATCTCTGACTATCTGGACTAGTTACTATTATTATTACTATTAATTAAAATGAAGAATACACATATCACGTGTAATTTATAAAACATGAACACTAACGATTTATTCTCTACTTTTAGCGGATGTTGCAAGGGGCTTGTATTTTTTCCTACCCATGAGTATCACTCTTATTTGCAACATCTTCTTGTTCATTTTCACGGCGTTGGAGATCGTACGGCACAAGAAGAACACGACTCATCAGCTGAAAAGCTCGGAAAGCAGACGTCACGATGACGACAAGCAATGGTTCGTATTTGAAAAGAGCATTGTCGTCAATATCGTCTTGACCCGATGAAAAATTTTTCATGCATAATTATATATAATAATATATATAAAATGCATAATTATATATATAAAATTTGTCTTTACATAATTATGTATAATTGTATATAATAATATAAAATTATATATAATTATATGTAAATAATAATTATAATAATATAAAATTACATGTAATTATACACAATTATGTGTAACTATATGTATAATTACATATATTTGTATGCGTAATTATGTAAAATTATATATGAAATTGTGTATAAAGTTATACATGATTATATATAAGTAACATATATTAACATATATGGGCAAATTTCATACATAATTGTATTTAATAATGTAAAATTATATATGAAATTGTGTATAAAGTTATACATGATTATATATAAGTAACATATATTAACATATATGGGCAAATTTCATACATAATTGTATTTAATAATGTAAAATTATATATAATTTTATATAATTATGTATGAAAAATTTTTTATTGGGGATACATGCATTAATCCATATAACTGATAAAATTAATAACATCGATATAGCGCCTCCTGCGAATGATCTCGCATAATATCGATCGGCCCTCGTTCCTAACATGATGATTATTTTTAGTCATGCCGTGGTTTGCTTTCATAATTACGAAATCTTCTGAAGAAATAAACATATCGCCGCCGTTTTGACCGCGGGTGCGAGATTCCTCCTACGATGCGAAAGCGTCTACGATTCCGAAAGAATGACGAATGAATATAAAATCGAAGTGAATGCTCCTGGTGTAAAAGGGCGGGATGAAAGCCACACTTCTTAGAAGACCTCTTAAGAAAAACTTTTAAGCTCTACTTGAAATTTGCCTCGTTACTTTTTAACATTTACTCGTCTATTTAAAGATAACCGCGATCGTCCAAAAATATTTATCCTCATGGATAAAATCTCGAATATTATCTCGAATATACGTGAATAGCAAGATTATCAAACTCAGCGATTGTAATGCATTTAGGTGATTTCAGAGATAGTGGTTCGTTTTAATGGTTCCACTTTGCAGTATTCGCGAAACATCTTTTTAATGAAAATAATAGCTACGTTTACACAGTACTACAAAAGTCGACTCTATGGTACAAGTTTTGCCGTATCGTGATCATTTTTTTTTATATGTTAATGCATCATATTTTAAGTATGAACAACGCACGAGAAAAAAAGCCACCTAATCATCTTAAATCATCTTAAATCATCTAAAAGCCATTTAATCATCTTAAATTATCTTAAACCATCTAAAAGCCATCTTAAGCCATATATTTTTAAATTTAAAACGAATGATATAATATCTAGATATAAAAATATTACATAACATAGATATAATACAAAAACATTTTATATTTATATTGCCGTGTTATATCGTTATAATCAGTAAATAGTAAAGCATTATAAGTTTTAAAACAATTTGAATTAAATACTGAAATAGTCACTGTAATCTGCAAAATCATCATTCGACTGTGCATTTCACGTGCCTGATGTTATAATTTTGAAACTCTCAGAGGTTCATTTAATTATTAGTTTTCGTGCTAACCATGTAAACATAGACTACAGCACTTGCACGGATATCACTACTTGAATTTAGGCTGTCCTCGTTAACGTAGTCGATAAAACTAATCGATCGTGTCGTAATCGCAAGAATATGAAAAATAATATGAAAAATATATTACAGGTTCAACCTGTATCTGAAGTTGTTCATCGTGATGGGCGTAAACTGGTCCACGGAGACAATATCGTGGGTGTTCAAGAGCGCGCCGCGAGCCATCTGGTACATCTGCCATCTGACGAGCACTCTGCACGGTCTCATCATCTTCATTGTATTCGTGTGGAAAGACAAGATCAGGAAGCTACTATTAAAAAGATTTGGCTGTCAGGAATATTCTCCAGAAACTGAACGCGCAGTGGTTGCCACAACATAACCTCGCGCACCATCACAACGGGGGTGTCACTTTAGGAGAAGGTCAACCCCTACGTACAGAATTCGAACTGCCACGCGAAGAATTCGTCCGACGAGAATTCGACCGACTGTCCTAATGTGTAATGCGAGGAGAGAATTCCTTTCGTGCAGAATCATTGCAGTCAGTAGCCTACAATATACTTGATGGTGCCGTAATGTAATTTATCGTGCCCCGTATTGCTGGGGCGCGAGAGAGAAAGATTCGAGATCAATATTGCGGGCGCGGCAGGGTGTGTGGCGGTGGGACGACCAACGATTGTAGTCGTTAGCGTAATAAAATAACCTTGATTGTAAAAAAGTATTTAGTTTATTTATTAACTCTCGAAACTTAGGGTTACACGCGGGAGATGCGACAGATACACACGTCGCGGGCGAGAGACCGGAGGAAGAATTCTGTCGCGGGCAGTCTTCTCCGCTCTTTTATAATATTGCTTAGCCTTATCGGAGGGGGTGCTTTGGCAACAAGGAAGTTGTCAAATTTGATGATAGCCCGGCGCATTCCGGGTCAAAGTCCGAGGCGCGGAATATACAAGGTGGTGCTTAGCGCAGCACTTGCACATCCTCTTCCTCGTTGTAGCGCGGTCGAAACGATTCTTCATAAAGCGTTTCGGCAGCGCTAATAATATTCACGATTATAACAAATTTTACAGTCAAAGCTAAATTTTATATTATTGCGCGTTGATCTTTTTCTTTTTCACTTTATACAGGGTATCTGGCGACACAACACTAATAGCACAACACTCGCGTTGCTAAAGCGCCTCGTAAAAAAATACATTAGTTTAGATAAGTGCCTTTTGAGGTAAATGAACTTTTATATTAAATATCGAACAATATTTTGTTTGTTGTAACGTTATTTTCGTAAAACTATTTTATATTATTTGCAGAGTTGAGAAATAACTCGTTACTTGTAACGTTATTATTGTTACCGTTATCGTTTTTCCGATAACGGTAACAATAATATAAATCGTTAATATAACAGTAACAATAATATAAATCGTTACCCTTTTTTATGACGTAAGAAGCGAGAAAATGCATGTTAATAATTCTTGTGAAATACGTTGAAATAAAAAGATATATGTATAAAGTGACACTTGCAATCGATTAAATAAATCTGTGAAATATTCCGTACATTCCTCTTTTGCTTTAATAATCAATAATTTATCGTAAATTAATCTGAATAGAAATAGGCGGAGAAATAGGTTAAGAAGATGAATTGTATGTTGCTTTAATTTATAAAAAATTGTTGATTGTTAAAACAAAAAGGGAGTGCACGGAATATCTTACAAATTTGTTTAATCGATTATAAGTGTAACTTTATGGATATATATTTTTATTTCAACGTATGTCGCAAGAATTTTTAGCATGCATTTTCTCGCTTCTGACGTCATTGAAACGAAATAAACAATGCAAGGAGTCAGGAACCGTAAGTCGATGTCGGAACGCACAAGGATTGACATATGTTATATCGAATATGATTAAAAAAATCGGACGATTGATGCAGCATACGTCCACGTCAATCCTTATGCGTTGACTTCCAACACTGACTTACGATATTGTCGGAAACGATTGCGACAATCTTTGTGCTCAAACCCTAATGAGTCCTCTACAATGACAGTAGGAGTAATAATAAAAAATAAGCAGTAAGCAAATTCACCAATTCCATTCTCACGATTCAAGAATTATCGATTGTGTTTGGCCCATTTGCTTACTACTTATTTCTTACTACTACTCCTATTGCCATTGTAGACGACGCATTAAGGGACGTTTACATTGGAAGTAAGTAGTAAAAAGTAGGAAGTAAGAGTAAGAAATTGACCAATCACTGTCGAGTGTAAGAAGAATAATCAACTATGATTGATCAATTTCTTATTCTTATTTCCTACTTCTTACTGCTTACTTCCAATGTAGACGCCCTTTTAGGCTTCAAGCGAGGAAGCCTAATTTACTACTTATATTTCTCCGCAACGAGAATTTATCTGCGAGCGAGCGAGATATTTAGCGCAACCTGCCGATGGCCGCTGAGTCGTGTAACTGAACTCTGTATATTGTAACTTATTCAAAAATCTTAAGGAACTTGTTACAATGACTTCTTCTAGCTAAACAAACCTTGCAAACGTCCAATTGTTATTAGTTCAATATATCGTTTGACTTACTTTACCTTTCATCCTTTCGGTGAAATTATTTATATTATACAATTAGATCAATCTTTTTTGTTAGCTAAAAAAACACTTGTAGCATCTATATAACTAAATTTCAGTTTCTACTAATCTTTTACTTTTGACCAAATTTATTAGTTAAAAGTTCCAGTCATTCAGTTTAGATTGTTGAACAGGCCTAATTTTTATTTAATTTGACTCGATTGCAGTTAACGCAAACAAATTCCCAAAGACTTGATCCGTTTTATCCGATCTCTCCTCAGTATAATTTTCATTCGCTGAGCTTACTTCACGAGTTTGTAGGCGAGTCTTGACAACCTTTAAGCCTTCATCCTCTCCTTCCGATTGATCGATCGCGATCATATTTCGAGGCGCTAGAGTGGCCAATCGCTTCTCCCCGGCATCGTTTATACAAATACCGATAAAGCGCGGTGAAAAGCGAGGTTCTTCTTGAACGTCGTCCACGACGACGAACGAGCGAGCGAGCGAGGCGTGCAATTGACGAAAGCGTCGCGGCGCCGCGCAACCGCCGACGCAGATGCGGGCGGAGCGGAGCCGTCGCGGGTGATCGTCGGAGTCGGCTGATAGTTTGTCGTGATGCGCGTCCGCTCCGCTTTCAATTCAGCGGTCCTCTTCGCCGCGTGTGGTCGGTGAAGGTGATTAAAGAGTCGTCTACAATATGCGGAGTAAGCTTGGAGTAAGAAGTAAGCCGTAAGAATTGGCTAATCGTAGTCGATTATTATAAAAATAATCGTCTATGATTGGTTAATTCATACGGCTTACTTCTTACTCCAAACTTACTCCGCATATTGTAGACGACGTTTTAATCGCCATCACCGCCGTCGTGTCCGCCGTTACAGCCGCCGATGGACTGCTGCGCGACGATCCACGCTCGGTGTCGCTCAGCGTGCTCCTGGAGAACGGCGACGCCGACTTCACCTACGACGGCGAGGTCTACCTCACCGACTTGCGCTGGATCGACGGCAATCTCACTTATGGCTGCATCTGCAGGCTGCACAGGAAATGCATCAAGAAATATTGCCGCAGCAACGAGGTCATCCGCAGAGATCTCGGCAACAAACCGTCGTGCGGAAAGATACCGCGGGAAGATCCCGCTGCCACCGACTCGCCCGCCGCCAAAACGCCGGCTTTGCGCCTGACCAAGGAACAACTGGTCAAGGAAATCCGAGATATCGGCGAGCTGAGAGAGCACTTTGTTCTGATAGAGGCGGGAACCTCTGTCCCGATCAGTTGTTAGCTCTCAACGAGGATAACGATGAAGAGAAAGTCAACCTTCAGATAAGTGAATGAAGTTGGCACCCTACTTTTTGAAATTTATAATTTTGAAAGTTGTTCCAGATTATTCTGACTTTGTACCACATTGTTCCAAAGTGATATTGCTTCATTCGAAACGGTTTTCGAATAAAACAAAAAAAATGATTTTTTCAGCTGGCACCCCACTTTTCGAAAATCGAACATTCTGATACTGCAATAGATTGTTCTAGTTGTTCCAAACATTGTTCCAAAAGGACAAATCCGTAAGTTGAATTATAAGTCCAAAAAATGAAAAAAATGTTTTTGACCTGGCACCCCATTTTTTGAAAATAAAGCATTCCGATACCGATATAGATTATTCTAGTTGTTCCAAACATTGTTCCAAAAGCACAAATCAATAAGTTTAATTATAAGCCCGAAAAATTAAAAAAAAGTTTTTTGACAAACAGTCTATCGGACCAAGAGTAAACTTATACTATCTTTCTTGTTCCAACCGAGATCTTTTTGTTCTGAGTTGTTCTAGGCTTAAGAATTATAGTTTTAGAGTATGAGACTCATAAGATTATTCGTTCTCTGAAAATTCGAAAAAAAATCGATTTGACAGCACCCGACGTCAAGAGAAAACACATGCTTCCTTTCTTGTTCCAACTGAGATCTTTTTGTTCTGAGTTGTTCTAGGCTTAAGAATTATAGTTTTAGAGTATGAGACTCATAAGATTATTCGTTCTCTGAAAATTCGAAAAAAAATCGATTTGACAGCACCCGACGTCAAGAGAAAACACATGCTTCCTTTCTTGTTCCAACTGAGATCTTTTTGTTCTGAGTTGTTCTAGGCTTAAGAATTATAGTTTTAGAGTATGAGACTCATAAGATTATTCGTTCTCTGAAAATTCGAAAAAAAATCGATTTGACAGCACCCGACGTCAAGAGAAAACACATGCTTCCTTTCTTGTTCCAACTGAGATCTTTTTGTTCTGCGTTATACTAGGCTTAAACGACGAAGCAATTTCACTTTATTTTGTCATTATGACATTTTGACATTTTGTAATTATTTCCGCCAATTTTCCTATAATAAAGATTATTATAGAATTTTTGTAAGAAATCATCTTTTTCTTGAATTTTTGTCACCTCAGAAATATATTTCAATCATCCTTATTTTCAATCATCCAAATAATTATACTTTTTTAAATCAGTATATAGAACTTTTTGTTGGTTGAATATGACGACTTGTTGCGTAAGCCAAAAAAACTTTCCGTTCAAGCTAAAGGCAATGTAAATATATGTATTTATGTAGAAACATGAAATATTTTTAACCCTCCGTTTGCATTATGTTTTTTACTAACGCCATTTGCGGTGATCCCTTTAAGTCCTGTAACATTTTTTTGTTAAACTCATCTAAAAAATCTGAAAAAATTCTGGGATACTCTAATATTGATATAACTTTAATATTGATAAAATAAATTAACGTAACTGAAAAAAGTAAAAAAAGTCAAAGTTAATACATAAAAATTAACTAAGTTTAAGTTAAAAGTAAACTTATTTAAACTTAAGTAAGTTGAATTAAAAATTACTAACTTTTTAACTTCTAACTAAACTTTTAACTTTTTTAAAAGTTACTACTCAACCCTGAATACTGCATCAACATTATATTCTAGAAGCTTCTAATTTTATTGCTGAAGATGGCAGCGATGTTCATCATAACCTAGAGACATTATAACAGAAATGAGCTGCAGTGCATTGCACCTCAGTCCAGAGTGCATTGCTATATAATTGTGTATCATAATGTACAAATTTTCTTTAATTAATACCTACAAATCTATGTGGTCATTTGCAAAATAATAGGGCTTTTTTATTCAGTTTGATTTAATGTATAAGTATACGATGGCAGACGGCGCCACTGTAGCTCATCTACTATATCGCACGTGATTATTCACCAATCTTTTTTAATTAATTTTGAAATTTATTGCAAATATCGCAAAATGATATGGAACTTTTGTGTTCATCTCAATCCGCTCTACGTCCTCACAAGAGATTATGAAGGTGATCTAAAACACCCTATATAATTATTATATGATTATATATATAGCTATATATGGATAAAATCCATATCCTCTTTTTCCCAGGGAGTCACTATTTTAAGTTAATGTTTTAGTAATATTAACGTGTTATTCTACGGTAAAGAAAATAATTATATATGGCAAAAAATTTAATCCTATCAGAAAAAGTGCGTGTTAACTAAATCTCGAATGTATCGAAGTAGGTGAAGCCTCTTTTCCGCGGCGCTAATTGGCCGTCTCGACCGTCTCGATTGTCTCGATCCCGTCGCAGTTGATTTCGTGCCGCTTACAGCTGTTAGCCGCAGTGACAGATCAGGGTGTGTTGTTCGCGTCATCTAAATTTGATATTTATTGTAATCCCAGCAAACACAATGTTACATGTATATGTAACATACATATTAGTTACATATAACATTGTTTGCTGAGAATATAATTTGTAAAAACGAATGTTATAATATAAATTATAAATACAACGAAAAAGCTAAAGTGGCGCGCGTGAAGCGCGCGCTATGTGGTGTTCTAGTTTATTGTAAACATTGCAGTAACATTTTAGTAACAATAATATAGATTTTGATGTTATGTGTGAGCCGGACGGTTGTTACAAATAATATCTCTTTCAGTATTGATGTTCTGTTCGATTGTAATCCTTGCGTTTTTCAACTTTTCCTTTGTCCAACGCTCAGTTCTTTATATTTTTTATTATTCTTTTTTCCATACCTTCTACAAGGATTACTACAAGGATTACTACAAGGATTACTACAAGGATTACTACAATTGCTACTATTATCAAGCAGACACTTAATGTCAAGAAGATCATACATATTAAGAAATTCGTCTGTGTATAACCACGGACTCGCATACATAATAGCGAAAAACGGAGGACTGGCGGCAATATTTTTATAGTGTAAAAATATAGATCCGTTGTAGTGTAAAGTAAGATATAAAATTTCAGGTTTCAAAACCTCGCCGAGGGCACCAAAGATTGCGATTTTCATAACAAGTTATTTCAACTAGTAACAACAGGAATAATTTCATATCAACTCATTTGTATGCAGATAATTATACTTATGAGCATTGTTTTGCGCATTATTATGCGCAACAACTAGCAATCAGCACCTAGTTCATTGCGTAAGACATAAACGTCGCGTTGCGTGAAACAGCGGAACGTTTTGCCGAGCGCGCGATTCTGATATCGCAGCGATTACGAATGATTCAAACGTCTGTCTGCACTTCCTCATACGATTTAATTCTTGGCATTCGATCCGCGCCAACATGTAGGAATGGCGACCCCGTGAAATACGATCAATACGACCAAGGAAATTCGTCTCGTTTCGAGAAAAGTCGGAACTGGGATATCCTAGCCGCTGCCGTTTGAGACAACCCTATCTTCGATTTCCCGTAAAACAAATGTTAATGATCTCCCCACTACTAAACATGTGTGAGATACCGGCGAACCGATTTTCGCATATCTGCTGCTTGTTTTCATGCTGAAAGGAACGGTACATATAGGATGGGATAAAAGCAAGGTATGAAAAGTCTAATAGTCGGCACATGTTGTGGCGTCTGTCACTTCTCGGCACTTTTGCGTAGGTTTTACTGAATATTAAGATGCATGCATAGGGATTCATTATTTATTTAATGATTCCTTTTTTTAATTCCCATATCGCCTTATAAAATCTCATCAAATCCAATCCGCAAAAGTACTAAAAACCGAGAGTGCCGGCTATTTTACTAAATATTAACCACTTCGTTGGCATTGACGCACTTTTGTGTCAAATAAAGGATGTACCAAAAATGACATTGACGCACTAATACGCACTTAATTTTATTTTTTTTTCCCGTTAGCAAGATTTTCATGAAACTCAGTACCCAGGGGTTTTTGGGGTCGCTGATTTCGAATCTGAACACTAAATTTAAAAATTTAAAATAGCAGATAAAATATAGCGGATCAAGATGCGAAAAGTGATTATGATGAGACTTGGTATTTGAGAGTCGCTGCTTTCGAATCTAAGTTTAATTTTGTCAAATCCAAGATGGCGGATCCAATATGGCGGACCAAATGGAAAAATTACTTGATTTGGATGAAACTCGGTACTCAGGAGTTTTTAGAGTCACTGATTTCGAATCATAGTTTAAAATTTCGAAATTTCAAGATGGCAGATTCAATATGGCGAATCAAAATACGAAAAGTGACTTGATTTGAATGGAACTCGATTCCTGGAGGTTTTTAAAGTCGTCAGATTTCGAATCTGACATTAACTTGAACTTTTAAATTTTGATCTCAAATTTGTATTCAGCGACTCGAAAAGTACTTTAGTACTGACTTTTTTAAAAATCAAACAGTATTTAGATCTTGCCATTTTTGGGTCGGTAATGCTGATTTTCTTGACGAGCAAAGTGGTTAAGATATGTGCGTATGGAGATTTATTAATATATTTATTAACTTCTCTGTTAAATACGCCTTAATATTCGATCAAATTGAAATTGTAAAAATGCCAAAAACTAAGAATATCGGTTATTGAGCGTTTTATCATATTCGTTTCTCTCAATACACTTTCAGATTTCAATTGAGTATTTTTTTATCCTATTTTCTATTTCCTTTGATGATGACATCAGATTGCAATATCTATTCCAGGGTTTAATGAGATTTTCTCTGCTTCTGCGACATCGATTAATCGCTTCCGGAGATATCGAGTTTGAGTCTTTCGACAATACATACCAGTATGTCTCAGTTGGTGTCTTCGTTAGGCTTGTCTTCTATCGTGCTCATCCATACCGTAAATCTATTCTCAGGTTTCGTCGTGCTCTCGAAACCGTAATGGATTTTCATTCGAGCATTGAATATCTAAATGCCGAGACGTCTAAATTTATATGGCTGTCGGATTGGCGAAGCTATCATCTCGAAAAGATTGTTGGCCGAGCCGCCCTGTATATACATTCACAGCAGGTAGGCTACTTTCCTAGTGCTGTCGATGACGATTCGTTCCTTAGTCTCGCATCGCTGCTCGCGCGAGAACACGCGTTTCTCGCGCTCGTTCCGCACTCGCACTTCGTGGGAAGAAGTCGTGAAGCCACGAGGTATCGGCTTTTTTTATCGTTCAGTGAGATAGCCGAAAGTCAACGCAATCGTCACCGATAACAGTACCATATTTGATCTGTACGGATTTTCCGTATTACGACTCGTGAAACAATCACGTGAAACGAGAAAAAAAATAATACGCGACAACTGATGCTTTCTCCTTCGATCTTTTCGTTCTCTTCTCGAACAAACGCGCAAAACTGTAATGTGATATTATAATGCGTGTAAAAATAATTCAGCGATGTTTTGAGGAAAAAGTTCCATTGTTTGGTAACTTAACGTTGCATCCGCGCAAGAAATACGCCCTCTTTTACAAACACTCCCAGCCGGATTAAATTGTTGAGTGAATATTATCAAAATAGAGTTCTTGCAATACGTACAATAGTAGGGTATAATTTTATGTCAGCATATCACAGGTAACGATGTTTTTCTTTTTCTTATAAATTATTCATTTTGATTATTTAATAAACCGGTTAAAATGACGCCGATTAGTCAAGTGTCTGCAATATCAGCCGATATACTGGTTGCTATTAGATGTTGTTAAGCATTATCACAATACAGCAAAACCACAAACTACGCTTGAATACTCTATGTCGATACTTGCTGATCACTTATTCACACATGATGATATTTCGTGCAAACAACAATCATTTTCGAACGCAAAATAGCCTTTACTTGTGCATTTTAGTTATCAGCAGAAAGAGATGATACTGGTAAGACGTTTCTTGTTAAAAATTACAGAGTAGTGATTCGAATTATTGTTATGTATAAATCACTAGCGATACCGAATTACATTTTGACAAAGATTCGTTTTATTCGCAAAATATCTACGCACACAGAAAAATACATACTGCATTTAAAAGTGACTTGTTTCAAGTATTTCTAAAGTTTGTACATCCGCAAATCTATCATACGTTCATTTCATGAACATCAAATTCACTCAAAATACATTCTTAGTTCTAATAGTGGAACCAAATTTTTCTTCAATAAAGTTTTATAATATTCTTGTCAAAAGAATGAGTTCGTCTTTTGAGTGCATGCAAATAAGCTTTTATTAAATTTATATAAATATATTTTAAGAATAATGAGTCCCGGACCCTCAAATGTCCAAAATCGAATCATAAGACGTCTTTAGGACGTCTTTAAGACATTTTTAAGACAATACCTTATAAACTTGTCATAAAGATGTCCTGAAGCTGTCTTAAAGACGTCTTATGACCCGAGTTTGGACATTGTGCTATCTGGGAGTATTTTATTGACAAAGAGCCGTTCTCTTTAGTCCAGAGCCAAATAAATGAATTTTGATATCAATCAATAAAGAATGCTTTCATAAGTGCTGAGAGAAAAATTACATCTGTAAATTTATTAGAATTTTAGAAATTTGGTATTTTGTCTATTACTCTATATTATGTTTTAATTACTTTAAAGATTTAGTTACTTTCACGAAACTATTCCAGAAGTACCAAAATGATAGTTAAAATTTATCGCAATTTATTGCAAAATTATGGCAATTCACGTGCAATTCGTCTAGAAAACTGTAATTAAAGCACGGTCATTAATCGAAATATGCGCATAGGAATTCAGAAATCCGAGTACAACTTGCGAAGTGATCAGTAGAGAAGTATTCAAAAGCAAAACAGCACTCCACCGATGTGATAAATGGCTCAGATCGAAATTTTAATCATCACTTTGACACTTCTAGAATAATGTCATAGTTCCGTAAAGGCCTTTAAATATATTTTAATTAGCACGTTATCAAGAAAATATTCTTTGCTGAAGATAATCGTAACTCAAAAGAAGGAAAATAAACTATACAATCACTTTCTTTAGCAGCAGAATGATATTTTCCTGTGTGCGGGCACACGATATCTTTCGGGGCAGAGGAGGGGGTAGGAAGAAAGAGTCACTTTTGGTTCAAGTTCAATTCAGTCTCACATTTTGTATTCCTAATTAGACATGATTTCTTTTGTAACAAACTATATTTTTCATTCGCAAAGATGCCGTAGCAGGTACGCGTGCAACTCTCTTTGACAACACGGATTAGTTTCCATCATCCGCCATCACATCGCCCCCCGGCTGCTCGAGGTTTGGTTTTTCGATTCACGCACTAACGGTGGTGGGATTAACGGTTTAGATTAACAAAGTAATTAGATCGATTGTGTATATTATATTATTATCGTTATGGGGCGTCTCTCCAGAGAGGCTTGGCATTCTCGGGGGAGTCGTCTTGACCTATTTTTTTCCCTTTCTTCTTCGTCTCACGTTCTTTGTGGTACTTTCGTAAGTAAGTTTCCGCGGTGCGATAACACAGGACCGACGATGATTATACCGACCGTTAGCAACCTCACCAATTAGTATAGAATGGAACAGTATCTGAGAATGATGTTCGTCGTGTCTCTCGCGATCCTGACCGCGACTGCCGTCGAAGGCGTCATGTCCGAGGAATCACAGGGATCGTGGGAAGACAGTGTTGCCGCGGAGAAAATGTTACCCTGTCGTCTTTCTATCTGGAGGTAGAAACAATTCTAAGTAATTGCGCTTCCAAACGCGATAAATATCTGGTGGTACTTTAATTCGCCTAACTCGTGTCAGCTTTCTGCTGCACATCACATCCATCTCGTGATTATTTCGTAATGGCTCCTAATTCTTGTTACCAAGTTCGTGGCGAAGACTAATAATAAACCCAGTGAACAGAGAACATTGCAAAGTAACACCCTGAAATATGGATTTTGCATGTATCTTTCGTGCATTTCTGCTTCATATTTTAAAAATATCCTAAAGATATTGCTGAACGGTAATATGATTTTATTTAATATTGCAAAAAGTTCTAAAAATATCGAAGTAGCGAAGTCATTTGTAATGCTATCGATACAATATAAAAACTACATATTAGAAAACGTTCTACACCATTGGGTATTGTTGCAATAACGTTTCATCAATAATTTTTTACTCATTGAGAAATGAATCTTTATTAGTGAGATTTATAAGTATCATAGAATATATCGGACAAGCCAAAGAAACACTTAACTCACATCGCTGATCGGTTAAAATTTACCAGAAATAATTGTATCCCGGAACTCGAGAGAAGCTCATTCAAAATTACGTGCTTGCATAATCGCTTATATTTAACCGTGACTAAATTATTACGTAACGCAAAAAACTTATTCCCGTAAGTTCTCACGTATCTCACATTCGCGGTAAATTTTTCATGTTAAGTGACATCAGCCAATCAAGAGACATAGTAATGTCTCGCGCCAAGTGCACGCATAAGCGAAGCGACGCGCACGGGCGGCGAGACGGACCGTGTATATTTACGCGAAACATCTCGTTGATCAGAGGCATGATTTATTGTTTTACTATGACGGCTAAACTTATGAAGTTCTAGGTGAGCTTAATCGATTCTTTAGGGTCAATTATATTATTAAAAAACTCTTTACTTTTGTTCTACATTCCCTCCCAACAAACACAGATATATAACAGTTACATTGCCATGATGAAACGGAATGTAACATGCAATGTAACATGTATGTAGTAGGTTATATAGATGTTCGTTGTAATTTCCTACTCACACGTGTTACAGTTATATAACGTGAATATAACATAAAAGTAACATGTGACTAAAAAGTTATATAAAAGTTATATGTTATTTGTTAGCAAATTAACACATATTTTTTTGTTGAATTCCAACGATTTATTCATTAGTATAATTCAGATAAGTGATAATGTATGATTATTTTGTTTAAATAATAAAAAAATACTGACATTTCATATTCCGTATTATTTCAATTATTCGTAAAACTCGCGTGGTTTCGATCCTATGTCAGGCGGGCACCTATTTTTAGATCATGTTGTTCAATGCTTAACTTCTCAATGATCGTCCGGGAACTGGTGATGCTGATGCGCCGTAACGATATCTCTCTCTTGATAAATAATATTTACAATATATTCTTATATCGTTCAAAAAATGTTATGACACATTTGTTGGTAAATGTTTGATACGACAATCACAATATAATTAATATTGATACAATGTTGTATCAGTAATCAAATTTTAACCTACAACTCGCAAAAGAGAGAGAATATTCCTTCTTTCTCTCTCACAATACTTTGACAGAGTAAGGTTATGATTAGACTCTTTGTAAGAACTCTAGTTTTATCGTGATAGCGATCCTAGCATATATTAAAATATCACATTTTATATACGAAAAACACCTAAAATATAATTTTACATTTGTGTATAAAAATATTGCACAACTGAAATTTAATGCAAACATTAGACTTCTTATATAACATGTTATATTAAAGTTATGTTGCTGTTATATTGTTGATGTAACTTAACCAGTAAATAACATAACATAATAGTTTTATAATATAGTTATATCGCAGTTATAAAAGAAATTAAGTAACCTCAATATTAATAATGTATAACAGCAGTTATATTACATGTTACTCCTGTGTTATATCACAGTTATGTTCTGTGTTTGCTGGG